GTCGTCCAGTTGCACCGGCTCGACGCAACCGCCGCGGTCCGCCTGCTCCGTCGCGTGCCGCTGGTCACGCCCCGCGGGCACGGTGGAATGGTACTTGGCCTCCTGCCGGAGCTCCTCGAGGATGACGCTGTATCGGCGGCCGGGGCTCTCGGCGGCCGTCGCTTCCGTCAAGTGGTTCTGGCACCGGTCCGCGAGCTCAAAGAGCCCGTTCTCGCCATCCTTCCGCCCCCGCTGGATCTCCCACACGTACACGACGGCCAGCGCGCAAAACGTCACGTACGGCGTCCACCAGAAGGCGTGGAACAAGGTCCCGTCGCTGGCCATCCCGTCGACGGTCTCGAGCGCGACCTTGGCGGCGTTGATGCACTCGTCCACGCTGTCCTCCAGCGCAGACCCCTGATTGCTCTTGGAGGCCCCCGTGCCCAGAAGGAACGGGCGGTTGGCGTGCATGATGGCGTGGCAGTACGCCAGCTTGAGGGCGGTGTTTTGCCGCCTGAAAGACGGGATCAGCGACATTGGCCGGACCGTGCCGAGGTGGTGCGGTAGCGACTCGCGCCACTGGTGGAGGGCCTGGCCGTATTGATGGGCTGCCATGAGGCGGTCATGCTTGGGTATGTGTTTTATCGCGTACACCTCGCGCGAGATGCCGTCGATGAGCTGGGCGAGCTTGGCGTGGAAGATCAGACTCTCGACGTGGCAGTCCATCTCGGGCTCGTCCCTCGACCTCCCCTGGGGCGTCATCTCTTCGTCATTGACGCAGTCTGGGAAGTCCTGGTCGATGTCTTCGTCGTGGTACATGCGGGGGCGGCCAAACACGACAGACAGGTATTTGTCAATGGTGTAGGCCACCCAGAAGGTCCTCTTCCTGCACTGCGAGACGATGTAGTCCCTGTCGCTGATGCCCCTGTTGCGCCCGGATTTCCGATGCAGACCCAGCGCCGAGACGATGGGGAGTATGCTTCCAAAGACATACCATGCTTGGTTCATACGCGTCGTCTGGAGGAGGTAGAGACCCTGCAGAATGCGAGACTGTGCCGACTCGAGCTTCGGCAGGCCGACCTCCATCTCCGTCAGTCTCAGGGCCTCGCAGAAGTAGGCGTCGCTGCGGCGCAGATCGGAGCTCTGCTCCGACCCAACACCCCGGACCTTGCTTTGCCGCAGCGTGACGATGGCGAGGATCGCCATGACGATCGCGGCCTTGGCATGCCCTATGTCACGATGCAGAGGTCGGTTGTTCTGGGCGTTCGCAAGCAGCGCCTCGAACCACTCGGTGACGTACCCTTGGTGCAAGCAGCGGTATGTCACCACGCAGACGTCGAAGTAGAACCGCATCATCCCTAAGCCCGTGGCCCGGTCAGGCAGGGTGGAGGGGTCGAGGGTATGCGATTCGAATGGCTTGTCGCCTGCCCTCGTGAGCTTCTGGTGCTGCTCGACGCCGCTGGGCATGTGGCCCGGGACGCCGCTGCCGTTTGATCTCTGTGACGAGAGCCGCTTCCAGGCCCGGTGAAGGAACGTCAGGCTGGACGTGTTGTCAAAGTACTGGCCCTCGATCTCGGCGATCTCCACTTCCGGCGATGCCCTGGACGTCGGCGGAAAGCTGCCGTTCCCCCCAGCATCCGAGTTGACGGCTCCAGACTCGGGAAGCAAAGGGCGGGCAGCGGTCCCCATGGCCAGGCCGGGGAATGCCGCTCCGGGAGGCTGCAGCTGGAGGGGCGCCTTGGTAGGAAGCGGTCTTCTGTGACTGGTCAATCCACTCATCCTGTAAAGTTCCTCCCGTGTTGCGATGACGACAAACCTTTGGGCCTCGATGGGAGAGAGCAAGGGTGCCAACGTCGCTCCGGTTGTCGGATGCCGAGGGTCCGGGGTTGCCGGAGGAGGGGTCGGAGGCCTGCCTCGGCGGTAGCTTGCATCATAGATGCATGCAAGCCGCTTCCTCGTACACACATCGCAGGGGATGGTGCCGGAGCACTTTAGCTTCTTTGCCTTGCAGTAGTCGCACGCGCGGCTGACTTTATGACTCCTTCGTCGGTTGGCTGCGACGGCTGCGGCAGCCGGGGACGACGACCGGCCTTCATCGGGCGATCCTTCAGGCAGACCGCGTTTCCTTCGCTCTGAGCTGGTTGACGGGAGACTCGACGGCGAGGGTTGGGATATGTTTGATGCAGGTGTAGGTGCACCAGGGCCGCCCTCATCCCGGAGGCCAGCGTCAGTGGATGCTGCGGGCGCGTCTGCCATCCTATGGAAAGGAACGAGTATCCGGATCCCCCGACGAGTGCTTGCTGAGAGTTCCACTGAATCAAGTCCGTTTCTCCGAGTGGAGGGGAGGGGGATGGGAGGGAAGGGGAGGGGCGGCTGCTACCGCAGAAAGGTCCCCGGTTCGATCAGCAAACCACCACCACTAACGGGCGCAACTCAACTCGGCGGCTCTAGCCCCACGCTGACCGAATATGCTACGAGGTGCGGCGAAGCCAACATGTGATGTGCTCTTTGTCCAATGCCGTGCCCAGCGTTTCCATACGCGGGTCATACGTAGTCAGGAGTTGTTGACATCAGAAGACTCAAGTCCGTGGACATAACATTGGTATAACGTGAGGCGCAAACTTGGAGTCAAGGGAGAAGAATTAGACTCGGAAAAGCAATGCGCAGGATAGAGGGGGGAAAAGGAACCAGGGCGCGCTGATTATTAAGGGGACCATCACACAGCCTAGTTCCATGAGAACAGCGAATAATAGCCGCGACACCCTCCCCCCATGCGTATTGTATCCCCTTTCTTTCTCTTCTCCACGCACAAGTGCTGCTACTTGGATGCGGGGTAAAGACAGCCGGCTAGCCAGTCACTCATCCCTGGACGACTTAAACACTCGTCTCGCCCCCCGGCAAGCCCGGGTTTATTGTCCTCTAAGCATTCCTACCGCCCCCTCTGTCTTCAGATGTGCCCTTTGTTGAAAAGTGCCATTGTACAAGTATTTGCATACTTGGAACCTAGAGACTTGTTTCTGTCCAGATCTGAGCCACATGGCGCTACCCGATCATGCGGTTTCATTGCCGAGATCAGGCAAAGCCACATGCTTGGTGCACACATGTACCTATTACCTAATTAGGTACTTGCCTTTGTCTATAGTCTCAGATACCCAGATTAGCATGTGCTTATACACGCGCGATGTATAACTTTGGACTACGGATACCACTGCCGGATAGTCGTACAGGCTGTATTAACTTGTGCACTAATGGAATTGCCTGACAACCCGAACCCGGGTCCTAGCTACGCTGCCCCTTATCACTTAGCTCCACCCTATCATACGTATTTCGATTTGCGAGGCTAGTAATGCAGTCGGAAGGCTTATTATCTCCTGAGTCTGAGGTGCGTTATCAACGGCTTCTCGAGGTCGCACATGTACACAGTAACAGTGATACAGTTATTAAAACACAGTATAAGTACCATGCTGATTATGTGCCTGAGGTCTCAAGAACCTGGACAAGCAACAGAATTGGATAAAGTTGCACCCTACAGGTACAGCCGGAACTGTTATGCTTGGTATATCGGCAACCGGCTTCACATTTTGAAAGCACTGGACGGGACGGGTCGAAAGGTCGACCCGGGTTACCCAAGCCGGGCCCCTGTCCGTTGCTCTGTTAGCTCCTCACAAGTGGATAGCGGCCTCCAGTGTCACATCCACAGCCCTCCGCTGGAGCCCTGACCGCTGCCACACCTCCCCTCACGAATAATGTGCCCAACCAGCCTGACGTCAAAATGGCGAGACTGGAGGTGGAATACACTTTAACTCGGGGACCTCGTAGATGCCGTAGTGAACTTTCTATATTATAAGAAACAACAGAGCGACCACTCACAACATTTACTCAGGCCGCATTGTAACCGACAACAAGCCACACGCCCACCCCAAAACTTGCTTGCTCGAGATATTTCTCCAATCATGTCCATTGAGGTTTTTCACTTGCGGCTGTCACAATCCGAGAGGATCGTGTGGCTGTTGGAGGTGAGCAGCCGAGGTCAACCTGTGCCAGCAGCCACTAATAGACACGGCAGGAGTTGCAGATTCCCTACAAGCTGCACGTCTTTGATCGGGACCCCAAGTCTGGCCTCGCTCCCAAGGAGATCAAGGATCTCGTGAGTGTCGGAGACGTCCACGCCAGGGATTATGCCAGCTAATCACGTCAGAACCCTGCCGGTACCGCGCCGTATTTCCGCGACAGCACTGTTTCGCCACCGGTCGAGATCTCGGAGTCGGGCGCCATTGTCGAGTACATCCTCACGGTTCACGGCTCCAAGGTCGGCCCCGGTGCACCCAGGCTGCGACGAACCCCCGATGACCCCGACTACGCTCCCTACCTCGAGTGGTTCCATTTCGCCAACGCCACCCTTCAGCCCGCCATCGGCCGCGCCATGACTGTCTTGTTTGCGGGCGCCTCAGGGAGCGGCGTCGGTCAGCGAACAGACGCCAAAATTCACAGCTCCCTGGGGCTGATCGACGACCGTTTGGCCAACAACAAATGGCTCGCCGGACAGAACCTGAGTGCGGCGGACATCATGACCGTCTGCACCCTCAGCACTCTGCGCGGCTTCTACCCGCTCCTGGACCTATCGCCATATAGTAACATCCTGAGGTACTTGAGGGACGTCGCAGAACGTCCTGCTTACCGCGAGGCACTAAAAAAGGCGGAAGAGGGGATGGAGCCTATGATTGGACCCAAGGTCAAGGGTTTCAAGCAATTTGAAGCGTTGCGTGCCGTCTACGAGCAGCTAGGTTTCTAATGGCTCAATAGAAGCAAGAGGAGGATAACGGGGAATAGAAAAACACACTGTAGTAGCATACATTTCATGTTTTAACTGTCTTCTCAGTTAGCAGTATCACAGAATCACAGCACCTTAGTGCATACGACAAGGCACACAAACGAAAGGCGTGCGCTAATCTATTAGAATGGTTCAGACATGTCGAAAATTTTGTCTAAAAGAACAGCACAGCCAAAAGTTTCAACTCGTTTGACCAGCCTGGGGGTCGAACCCAGAATCTCCTGATAACCCGACGAATCGTAGTCAGACGCCTTGCCATTGGGCCAACCGGCCTTGTTGATAGAATTGATGCTCCACTGAGGTGGGTTGCAGTTCTCCCTAGCATGAGTTCGTTTGTAATGCCAGAGTTGGGATCATTTGGCGAATTTTATGCGGAGACCTGTCATAGTCTTTTAACCCGTCATTGTAGAAACCGGGTTCTGAATATGGAGTCACTTTGTCTCTCATCAAGACAGAGTGTCAGCAAGCTGAAATGTTGCTGTAATCATCGCCCTCTTATGAGAGCCAAGAAAACAAGAGACTCAGAGGCCGCTTTCAAAATCATCATGATTTTGCCATAGCCGTCGGTAAAATAATTGGAATTCGCAGTAAATAAATGTCATAAGTCATGGTTTCTGTTCAGATAGCATACTTGAACAGTGGGCTCTTCTCTCCCATGCGGTCAAGTTCCTCGTCGGTATACCTCTGCCTAACCTCTTCCTCGCTTATAAGCGCCTTCTTCTTGTTGAGTCTAAGCAGAAGAAGCTCGAGCGTAATGGCAGCAACAATGCCTGACGAGGCAAATCCGAAAGATGTGCCAAAGCCAGTGGGATATCTGGGTGATTCCTTGTCGATGTAGATGTAGCTGCCAATAAGGCCGCCAATGTTACCAACGCATACCAGGAATCCAATGCTGATGGCTCGCTTCGTGGGGCTCGGCGTGTTTGCAACGTTCCAGGCGTTAACTCCAGGCAGGATCGGGTACATGCTGGAAAGGACCGAATTAGCTTTAAGTGACCTCTTCCATTGGCAATAGGCCCTTGACGGGAGTGCAACTTACCCGAAGCAGGCGAGACACACGGCAAAGTAGCATAGGGCAATGTTGTCCTTGATATCTGCCGATTTGACAAACAGGATGCTGAAAGCAACAACAAGGCACAGCTGCGGGCCGAGGATAAACGGCATACGCCAGGAGTGGCGGTCAGCAAAGACGGAGAAGATATAGGCCGACATGGCGCCGACTGCATACGGAGGAATCGTCAAGAGCTGGGCGTTGGCCGAGGTGTAGCCCATGTTCTTGATGATTTGGGGCATCGTGAACTTCATGGCGTAGTTGGGGACCGCGTTGGACCAGTTGACCAAGATCAAGAGGTAGATCTTCCAGTCCGTCAGAACAGAGATGAACGCCTGCTTATCGAAGTGGCTGTCTCGGAACTCGTCCGGTCGGACGACCCGCCTCGATTCCTGGCGGAGTATGAGGTATCGCTTCTCGTCCTCGTCGAGCCATTTTGATAGGGAGGGTGAGTCGATGAGGAAGAAGAAACACATCACTCCGATGGCGACCGTCGCCAGCCCTTCGAGAATAAAGATCTGGGCTTGTTAGAAGACTTGCACCGGAATGCTGATCTGCGTGCACTCACCCATCTCCAACCCTCATAGCCGCCTACACCGTCCATCTTGGCAATCCCAAAGGCCAGCAGTCCTGAGAAACCTCCTCCAGACGCCGCGGAGGTGTACAAAAGAGCAATTCGAGTTTGCGTTTCGTTAGGGAGATACCATTTTGATATTATGAGGATGGCGCCAGGGAGGAAACCTGCTCTGCACAAATTCGTTAGCATCTCTCTGCAAGCCCTCACAGATATTCACGTCTTCACACTTACTCAAAGAGTCCGAGAAAAATCCGGACCGCGATCAGACCACCGTAGCTCTGAACAACGCCGTTACATGTCATCACGATGCCCCAGCACGTAACGATACCGCCGATGTAGAGTGATGGTCTCTTGAAGAGATGAAGAACCATGTTACTGGGTACTTCGGCCAAGACGAAAGGGATGAAGAAGACGGAGACGGCAACATTGTATTGTACGCCAGTCATACCAAGACTGGAGAGCAACCCCTCGATCTTTGCGTTGCCGATGTTTGTCTTGTCAAGGTAGGCCATCAGATAGAGGAGCACCAGCATCGGGATGAGACGGTACTAGTGACAGCAGAGTTAGTTGAAGTGCACTGTTGCAACGACCGTGCATAGTTGACGGGATGGTCCAAGGTTTCGTGGATACGTACATCGACCTTTCTGACAGCCTTCTTCTTCTTCTCCTCGGGGAAGCTGGCGAGGAACTCAACATCTTCGGGCCGCATGCCGCCATGGCTCTGATACTCGTCATGTCGGATGGACTCCTTCTCAGGGGAGACATGCTCGATGTCGGAGCGATCAGAAGAGGTCCGCGTAACGACGGCCATGTTGCTACATGTACTGATGCTGATAACGACGTTGAACAAATTTGTGCAGGATTATGTGGACGACAGTCCGAGGTAGCGAGGTATCCTGGACGAGGCAGTGTAGGCTCCCGAGACGAGAAAGTCTCGCGGCTCGGCTTTATAGTTAAAGAGCGCGCGACTGAAGACTTCTCTCAACAGACGAACGTGAGCACACGTCTCTTGGGTAATGGGATCCGCCAACAAATTCCCCAGCTGGATCTGGTATTGCGGGGGGGGGGGCAAGCGGGTGAACATACAAATCTGGGGTAACATACTTGGCCCTGGGGGTGGGCCAGACAATTTCTCTGGGGGAAAAAGGTATGGCCTTTGTGCCGTTAGCGCAAAGCCACAAGGCGGTCTTGTGGCCGACGAGCCACGAGTCGCTGCCGGACTAAGACTCGGAATTGTCCAGCTCACAACTCACGAGGGCCGTCTCGTGTCGGTTCCAAGTGCTTCAATATCTTGGAACAACCCGGATATGATGGAAACATCAACAAGCTGGTCTATACTGGAGACATCTGCACTAGGTGGTGTAGTATGACTTTGTACAGAATGCCATGCATCATCCTCCTGGGCTATAGCCAATACGGCACAACTAATGCATGGGGATGGAATGACATTCCCCTGATTCCTAGCTCATGTGGCCCGCATTCGGCCGGCCGGTTCCGTACCTATTGGTCAAGTTCTCTTCTCCTCATTGGAGTGGGTTCTGTGGAGGTGGGTGGGCTGCCCTGCACATCAAACGAAGTTCCGGATTCAGCCCGGATTCGTGAATCCGGGTTACGTCCGGAAAAGACAACAGCTTTTCCGAGAAGCCAAGAGCGCGCGGAGGCGGCGTGAAGGTTGCCACTAGGTATTTCAGATGACGATACATCCCGTAAATGTCCTGGAAAAGCTGAGGCTCTCCGGAGCTCGTAGCCGCGACTCGGCTCTTCGTTAGACGCGAGGTCGCTGCGATGAGGGGTCAAATCTGGAGCTCGATGTATTATAAAACAGGTCATCGCGAGTCACGTATCGATCTTTCTTCACTACCATCTCAAACCAACACATCCAATCACTACAGTCTACAAAGACCCTTCATATCTTTGACCTCCCACTATAATACCTTCCCTCTCACACAAACATGGGTTCTAACGCCGGCCTTGACCTCCGCGGTCTCACCCCCGCCCCCATCACCCCCTTCAACAAGGACGGCAGCGTAGACTACGATGCCATCCAGCGCCTCGGCTCCTGGCTCGGCAGCATCGCTGGCGTTACGGGCTTGGTCGTTCTCGGCCACGCTGGCGAGGGCACGTTCCTGACGCAAGATGAGCAGGTCTCCGTCATCAAGGCCTTCGTCAAGTCGGTCGACAACCGCATCCCCATCATTGCCGGTATCACGGGCGAGGGAACCGAGGTCGCCGCCATCGAGGCTAAGCGCGCCCGCGAGGCCGGTGCCGCGGCTGGCCTGCTGTACCCTTCGCACGGCTGGCTCCGGTTCGGCTACCAGCCCGGTGCCCCGCAGGACCGCTACAAGAGAGTTTACGAGGTCAGCGGCCTGCCCCTCATCCTCTTCCAGTACCCCGACAACACCAAGGCGACATACAACCTCCAGACAATGCTCGAAATCTCGGCGCTGCCGGGTGTCTTCGCCATGAAGAACGGTGTCCGCAACATGAGGCGCTGGGATACTGAGATCCCCGTCATTCGCAAGGAGCGCCCCGACCTCCAGATCCTTACCTGCCACGACGAGTACCTCCTGCACACTGCCTTCGACGTCGACGGCATGCTCGTCGGATACGGCAACATCGCCCCCGAGCTTCTGATTGAATTGATCAAGGCCGGTAAGGCAAAGGACTACCCCAAGGCGAGAGCGATCCACGACAAGTTGCTGCCCGTGACCAAGGCCGTCTACCACAGGGGATCGCACATGGAAGGCACCGTCGCCTTGAAGCACGCGCTGGTTGCGAGAGGCATTCTGGAACACGCCACCGTCAGGTCACCTTTGCTTCCGTTGGAGAATGGTGCTGAGCAGGAGATCTTCTCAGCCGTGTCGGCCGCGTCTCTTTCGCGTGTGAAATAAATGTTCTCTTTTTTTTTGTGCTTAGACGACATATATCATGATAGATGAGCGGAAGGATACCATTCAGAGACATCAGAATAAGGTTGCCAAATTATTTCATAGCTTTCTCACGGTTTCCCCCCCTGCGAGTGAAGCCATCCCCAGCGCCAATTTTACGCTACCCTCTCGTTCCCTCGTGATTTACGCACAATTGTCTGAGACCCAAGAATTGAAGGAATCCCAACGGCCGCTATGACATCTTAAACTTCAACCACGACCGTGTTTAAGAAGCGGCGATTCGTTTCATCCGAACCTTCAACTGCAATTCCCATGTCTATTGCATTGCTCGCCCAACCCTTTCCGCAAGCCATCCGCCATTTCAGTTCACACGGCTCGTCACGTCGTCGCTGGATGAGACAACAACCTCCAAAGGGAATCCTCGTAGGAGGTGAAGTTGATTGGGATGCAATCGTACGGGGTCTCAGCTGCGCACAAAGCCCACTCCCTCCGGCGCCACGAGGAAGACTCCGAAATGGAGATGATCTGCTCATCCCTGCAGCCCCGAACCCCAGATCGATAACCGCGTAATAAGATACTTATAAGCGCCTCTTCAAGGAACCCAGCCCTTTCGCCAGACGAGCTAAGCGCATAACTAGGGGACTAGGGTCTGGACGCGCGCCGGAAATCTAAACTAAGACACGGATAAACCCCTACCTAGCCGCGGTTCGCTGTGGATGTACTCTCTCCAGGCACGCTGGGTCGAGGATGTGGCAAC